TGCTAAGTAAACTAGAGAATAGATAATCGAATTAGAAAGTTTACCATAAACATGAAATAGTCCATTCATTGTTTAGCATACACATTGATCACTTCATTTCTTTTGCTTTGTTTACGCGAACGCATAACACAGCTCCTGTTCCCTGAACACATCGACTGAATATGAACAAGTTGGGACACACAACCTGGATATCTCTAGACCAGTGTTTCTCAAAACTTTTCTTAGTCGTGGCGTTTTATTTTTAAATTAAAATTTATTCACGGCCCCCAAACCTAAGTAAAATTATGACTATTCGCATATTAGAGAAAAAAAAAAAAAACTCGTGTGTCTTCGAATATTTCGCGGCGCCCCTGTGAAGAGGTCGCGGCTCCCAAGGGCGCTCCGGCGCACAGTTTGGGAATCACTGCTCTAGACGTATGTGTCCTGCCAGATGCTAACTACACAAGCTTTATTGATTTTGTCGAAGACGTATGGGGTCTTCTGGTTATAGTATCCTTGTCACTGGTGATCTGTTAGCGTGCTTTGGGACAGAAAACATCTGTTTAATTTCTAATTGGTCCTTATCTTTGCTACTTCTTCGCCAATAACTGTGGTATGTTGTATCTGCTTTCACAGAGCAGACCGGAAGTGGTGCCACCTGTGCTTAGAATGTCAGTATTGGGGTTCTTTGTGGCGAAGTGCTCAAGCTATTTGAAGCCCCTCTGAACGTCGCGGGTTCGTTTTATTGCAGCGAAGGCAATTTTTACAGATATCCCTTGGGATCATCAATTGAGCTACGGAGTTCATGCTTTGGGTGATATTCTCAGCAGACGTCTAGCATTTCTGTAGAAAGAAAAGAGAGCTCGTAATGTAGCCAGTCCTGTGGATTTCACTTTTAAGCTACGTTTTTCAGTGAAGTCACGTTGGTTTTTGGTAAAAAAATATTTCCTTTTGGGGTTTAAGACTCTGTTTTAGGGTAGAACAACAATCTACTGCCCTCTAGAGCATATGGACTCGGATATGTTGTGCCAGATTAACTATAAACTTCAACCCAGAATAATAATAACCACGGTTAATTTAGAAAGAATTAAATCTCTCCCACTGGAGATTCGAAAAATTTTCTGGTTAGATTACCAGCGTCCAGCCACTACACTACAGGTGCTCCGTATGTAAAACTATAATAGTTCTTTGTAATCGTTTCTTAAAAACATATGTGAATCCTTCTCCTGTCTTATGATACAGATAGCTCACATCTTTTTCTTTCTAATATTTATGTCTGGTGGTCACAGGCGTGTGAGCGATTCAACTGATCAGATGCATGTGTGATTTCTTAACGAGATACTTTAAATAATTGATTTTATTTAGTCTTGTTCGGATTTTTTGTATGGTATATTCATTGAATATGCTGTTGAATGCCCTCTAGCTGCAACGTTCATTTGTCGCTTGAGTTTGTGATAATGTGAAGATTTCCATCTGGTCTGACATGATTTCATAATATTCGCCACTCTTGGATACCAATTCTCGTACAAATCCTTGTGAATACTTTTTATAACTAACCTTGTTTTCTGTGTGTCCCAGCCTTAAATGCAAGTAAAGGACTTTTTTCCCTACTATATTCCCAATGCCACAGTTATAAGACAGAGCATGTGGCATTATGGGCTATGAAAAACACTTTCGACAGCGATGAGTGGGAATCTGTCTGGAAATAAATGGGGCAGTGTGAACTCCCACAGAAAATTATTAACTTATTAAAGGCAACATGTCATCATCATCATCATGATAAACCAATTCTACTGTTAAGCGACGTGGGGAGAAATCATTTGCGATCCGGTGCCACTGGCTATTGTCATGCCGTGAAGGCGTAGAATGTCTTTAATGTTGTCGATCCATATTTTCCACGCCGTCCTCTTGCTCTTGTAGCTGATCTAAGATATAGTGCTTGTGATGGTATTTGATCTTGCTGCATTTTAACGAAATGGCCAAACTACTTGGTCTGCTGTTTCTCGATGAATCTAGTAAAAGGTCTTGTTTCCACAGTTTGTCTGTTAGTATCATTATTCACTCGATCTCGGGTGGTTATGCTGGCTGCTTTTCTCGGGCATTTCATCTCGCAGGTGGTGATTTTGTGTGTATGGGCTTTAGATAGTGTCCATGTTTTACACCTGTAGCCTAAAATTGGAATGAATATGTTATTTATTTAATCTGTCTTTTTGCGCTCATAGTTATGCTCGAATTTCCTAAAATTGTGACAATTGGTATAAAAGTGCATTGTCTTTCTGACATCTTGTTTCTATTACTCTGTCTATTCTACCATCTTCCGTGATCATAATTCCTAGATATTTCCACTTATCAACCTGGTTTAGACCAGAATCATTTAGCTGTGTGTGTAGTGGGCCAGAGGTTATGCTCATTTGTATTGTTTCGGTTTTGTTTTTATTGATCTTCATGTTGTATTTACTGCATGTTGAGTTTACCCTGGTAATGTGGTCTAACTCTACAGGGTAAAACAAGCACTGGTCGTCAGCAAATAGTAGTTCGTTTAATTTGGGTGAATCGATTACTTCTTCTGATGTGTGTACTTTCTCAGGATTATAAAGATCTGTGTTGTCTGTATCATAACTTGCTTCTTTAAATATTCTGTCTTATGAATGTTAAATAAAGTAGGGAAGCACACATCCCTGTCTCACACCTGTATAACAAATTAGGACATACAAAAGACATAAAATGTCGAGTCCCTAATGGGGGAAAGCTAACAGATACACTTGAAATCAAAGTAGGTGTGCGACGGGGATGTTTTTTGTCGCCTCTCTTATTTTTACTGGCAGTAGACTGGATTATGGAGACAGCAGCAACTGCTAACACGAAGAATAGAATTTAGTGGGTCCCTACAAAACAACTTGATGATCTGGACGGCTGATGATATTTCTCTTCTGTCCCACAATCAGATGTAAGATAAATTAAATATATTTCATGCGAGATAACAAAGACTCGGTCTGAAAGTTCATAAGCGAAAGATAAAGATAATAAGAATAAATCAGGCAAATAGTAATGTGTAGTAAAGCAAAGAAAGATACCTTGAGCGCATCGGGGATATGGGAAGAGCATCCCATTTTTTTTTTTACAGACCCCGGCACTAAGTTGATAATGTGGTCATCATTACGCCAGCCGTCTTTACTTCCCCAGGACAACCATCCTGGTACCCATCTGCAACGCCCCATACCATGACAACAATCCACGCACATAGTGATATGGTTTCTTTTAATGGCATCCAATTCCAAGACGTGGAGTCGTACACCTGTTGGACAGTAATGTAAATAAAGATGGGGAAACTAATAGAGATATTAAAATACAAATATCACGAGGGAATTTTTTGAGGTCAAAAGAAATTAAAACTAACACTAAACTTAACATTTTTAATTCTTAGGTCAAGTCAGTACTTTTGTAGGGAGCAGAAACATAGAGAAAAACAAAGGTATTTACTAGTGAACTCAAACATTCCATAATTTGTGCCTGCGCAGAATAGAGAGAATTAAAAGGTAGAATAGAATCACTAATGTAGAGCTTTTGGAAATAAAAAGAGGTGAAGAAAAGACGCTGGCGTTGGATAGGCCACACGTTGAGAAAACCTGAGAACATTATCACTAACACGTCTTTACACTGGAACCAAAAGGAGCATAGAAATAAAGGAAGACCAAAAACACATAGAGAAAGGAGCTAGAAAGTTAATATACAAAAGATGGGAAGGACATTGGGAGAGCTGTATGCGAAAGATAAAACGACTTGGCGTGAATTGGTTGAGGACCTATGCTTCATTTGGGGTTGGAAAGGCAGAAACGAGATGGGGTGTTATACTGAACACACTCTGAGAAAAGAAAAGCACGGAATCATACAAATGGCAATGCGTGACGTTTAAACCCACCAAAGCCGAACAACGAATGAGTAATACACTGTGACAAAAAGTGCCACCATTCGGATGAGAATCCCACAGGTGCAGGTACCAGAAACCCCTTTCAACCGTAAGTTTCTATTAGGGACCCCGACGACGGTTACGAAGTGGTGACACTGGTGGATGCCTTGGTGCACTCAGGGACGGCGGGCTGGACAACAAGATACACAACAAGGAAAGGACATAAGGCTGTCAATTTACACAAATACAGGCGTATAGCTACCCCACAATGGACAAAAAACTATTGGAAACCCCAAACAACTAAACGCAGTCCCAAAATAACCGCCGCTCAATTTTGGAGCTGGTTAGGGCGACTAAAACTTTTTTTTTTTCAAACGAACTGGAACTGGAACTGGTTACGAAGTAATCTGAAGTTCAGCCGGAGTAGTGCTTTAACATACAAAATACAAATATCTGACCCATACTTTGATGGAGTAGGCAGGTACAGGAAATGTTTGTGTGTTTGTCGATTTACATTATCCACGTTAACCTCTGACAAGAGAGCTAGCCTTGTCCTAGTCAACATTGGTTATAAGTATGGCAACAGACTGTGTTGATATTTTATTGCGTAGTGTTCAGTGTTAGTATTTCACGTCTTCTGTGTCATTCTGGTCGGTCAAGTTGTGTTCATCACATTGCGCATGTTTAGATCTGATAGGTGATGTATTTATCAGGGTGCTATCTATTGATCGTCCTACTGATGTTGACTGAGCTGTCGCCTGAGCTGCTCATTGTGATATTGTGGTACCAGTTCTTCGTGTGCTTTGTGTGTGTTAGTGTGGGTGCGTGCGTGTGTGTATGTGTTTATGTGTGCGTGCGTGTGTGTTTCCGCCTGCGTGCGTGCGTGTGTGTGTGTGTGGGGGGGGGGGGGGGATGGCGTGCATAAGTGTGTGTCTTGTTCAACCCCACCGTGTGAGTACAACGAGCGACCAACACCTGGAAATGAGAATTACAGGTAAACAAGTCCCAAAAACCCCGTTTAACCCTTAAGTAATATTAGTAGGGCTTTAAAAAAAAAAAACGAAAAATTGCGTCTCATGTACGGACGGGAATTATGAGTTAACTTATTATTGAAGGCCCCCTGTGGGCCAGTGGCGTGTACATTGTACTTTACCTTACCTCTTTCTTCCGCTGCCACTT